TTTCGGGACGCTCTGTTCACATCCCCCATCCGATACTCAGCATACGGTGTCACTTTTCTCCCTTCTTTCCCCAAACTCGTACGAGCGAGATGGGCGAGGGGGCGCGTTGCTTCTAGCAGCCAGCGAGGGGGCCAAGCAAGACGGGGAAAGGAGTCGTGGGGGCTTCGCCCCGCGGCTGCGGCGGGGGGACAGACTGGTTGGCGGCCCCTCGCCTCCTCGAGGTGAGGCTTCGGCGTGGCTGCGGAGGCTGTTCGGCGTGTTTCCGTTTCACGTTGTTCACGGAGCTGTTGAAGTAACTTAAGGGACTGTTTCTGCAGCGTAGTGGCGTAAAGCTTTACGTGAGGATAGAGGTAAGATGGGAAGAGAGCTTCACTGAGATAGTAAAATTAAAAGCCGTCCGTTGTAATCTGTTACTTGAATGGCAGTGCTGCTCTTTGTAGTCATCTGAGAGCACCTCGGTCAACTGGAATGTCTTGCTTTACCAAGTCCCAGGTGAAGCTGGAGGCCCAAAGCGGGCTGCCTGCTGGTTTCATCTTTGATTCGGGAAGCTGGCGCTCTAGCAAGCGGGATGCAAAGTGGTGGCACGTCGCGGCCAAGGCTTCTCCGTGCGTCCTGACGCGTTCCTCGCGCTCGCAAGGCGGCCCGGCCCGCGGCGGGGGCAAAGATGGTCTGCGCGAGTTCTGAGCGCTCGCTAGTCCTGCTCAATGCTGCTTGTTGAACTCTTCTAGACGTAACTGCTCCAGGGACTCTGTTTAGTTTCTGGTATTAAAAGGGGGAAGAGTTTTTAAACATCTCTGTAGGATGGCGTTGAAGAGCATCTCTTCTCTTTGGTCTTGTACAAGTTGCATCTACTGTTGCTACTGACTGAAGAAAATTACTGGAGGAGTTAAACTGGTTGAGATAATCCTGTATCTTCCAGTTGCTTTCTGGTACAATAATTTGATTATTATTGGGGAATTGCTTGTGGGACAGATGTTTTTTCCTGACTGACTAGCGTCTTGAGAAATGTCAAAGGGTAAGAGGATTTAAACGTATATGTGTAATGCAGTTACTACATCCCAGTAAGAGGTTGTGATACTGCTACTAGTCTGATCTTTCTTTACAATACTTTATCCAGAGAGGGACTGGCAGTAGTTGGAAGTTCAACCTCTGTGCAGAAATTGTATGGAAACTCCAAATCTCACCTACAGGTTTCTTTTAGGTGGATTTCTCTGTGTGGCTTTAGAAAGAAAATGCTTTCACGTCCCCACTATTTTTGGTGTAAAAATGCTATCCTGAAGTTATTTTCAGGATGATGAGCCATTCTGTCTTTCACTTGAATCACACTTCTTATTTAGAAGTCTACAAAGAGTTTTGCATTGTGTGCAATAACGTTGTCCAATGCAAAGACTTTGTTCTGCTGTAGCATTTTGAAACTTCATGTTGTCATGCTCCCATGACAAGGAGAATACAGTAGGAGTCATAATGACACATAAGTTTGCACAGTTAGCGAATTCATCACAAGTGGGCAGTTGCTGGTAACTCTGAACGCAAAGCTGTGGAAGTCCATGAACTTTCCTGATTGGTAAGATTGGTTCTCGATCCTTTTCTAAGAAATCAGAAGGATCTATCTTCAGTTTTTAAGGGTGGCCACCTGCACAAAGTGTTGATGTAGCTGGTTCAACTGCCTGTTTACATGTCTCTCTCTCCAGATTTGCAAAAAATAAATCCTTTTTATGGAAGGATCTTTCAGCTGTCTTCTCTGCTAGTGCCTAATTAACGCATGCAAGATGCATCTGAGCACTGTCCTGTTTCTGGAAAGCTGTGAGTGATGAGATGCTAGCAGTTGATCAGCAGTTATGTCATGTAAGGGAGCTTTTTGCTTGGTCTTAGTAAACTATGAGATTACTGATGTTTTTAGAAGGAACGTCTTTCCAAAAGAAGCTTTATCCTGGGGGGAAGAAGATGGTATCTAGCGCTTCCAAGCTTTCAATGTGCTGCAACCGTTCCTTCGTTTGCTCTAGCTCTTCTGCTTGGCTTCTGCTTTCTTATTTAGTATCTGTCTTGTTAGTGTGTGCGGCTGAGCTAGGTTATAGAAGTGAACTTTACAGTGACAGCCCGGCTAGAAAATAGCTAGGGATTGCTTCACTGATTTCAAGCTGGAAGTGTTCTAAAACTTGTCATTTCACAGTGAATCATGTCTGCTGGATCTGATGGCTCCTGCACTTGGCACACTTGAGACCCCTAGTACTTAAATGATGCTTTGGTTATCTTTTTGTTGAGAGATCGTTAGTGTTAAGGAATAGCTTGTCCCTGTGTGATTGAGGCAGCTACTGTTTTGTGACCGTTGACTGTGTTGGTAATAGGAACCAGGCAAACTTCTGGGTGTGGGCAGAAAGCCTGGTTCACACAGGGCCATGGTGGTGACTGCTTGTGATAGGAGTGCTAAATGCTTGGAGCTGAAACAAAGCTTGTAGATAAGACTTCTTTTTATTTTAGCAGAGTTAATAAAGTATTATCAGATGCGGAGGTAGAAGCCCTTCCTTGGAAGGTTCTGTAATGTGGGAAGGGAAGACGAGGAAGGAAAGAATGAAAAGCAGGAGCCTAAAGCACGAGAAGTTAGCAGTTCTTGAGATCTTTCATAGCATTTTAAAAAGAAAGCAACTGGAGCTTATGCCATTGCAAACCTGCTCAAAGTGAGTAAAGGTTACCTAGGAAGAACACAGAAGGTGTCTTGCAACTGTCCTATGTGAGCAAAATAAACTCACTATGGGTATGTTTTTGTT